GTGCAGAAAAGCTGTGCTGTGGGATCCACGGGATCCAGAAGGATCCACCCTTGATGCCCCCCGTGTTACGAATACGCGTCAGTTATCTAAGTTGGTGAAGCATCCCAAGCACCTATCCTGTACACATCAATTGCCCCACAGTATCTGGGATTTTCTGGTTTATGTGTGTTGAATATGGTTGAATGGTGTTGAATATTGAATCACTTGCCCACAGTTTCCCTAACTTCCTGTTCGAATCATGGGGTGCCCAACGCCGGTCACTGAGGGGCACGAGAAGGCGGGCAGGGACATGAAAGTCAAAGCCGATCCTGCCTCGGACAAGAAAGTAGGGCAATCAAACCAAAATCTGTGTCGTATGGAGCATGACCCCAAAACTTTGCAGATTGGCTGGTGGTTCTGCTTTCAAGATGTCTTGACCCATGGTCATGCTTCGTCCTGTTCTCTCGAATATTCAGCGCCGTCAAGCATTCTAGTTTTGACCATTTTTGGCAGCATGTGATAGTTTCTGGCCGATCCCGTTGTAGCAAAATGCTTAAAGCATTCACTGGTATGTCCAAAGATCGGGATCGTCAAAGCCCGCGAGAATGGTCCGTGTTTGTAGGTAAGCCCCACGTTTGGCATATCCCCATGTAATCCCATGCATTTGGACAATTTGGGAATTTTGGGACACCCATGTGATACCCGTGGATTAGATTGAGTCATCGCCAAGCATCCTTAGCCTGGGTTCGCAGGGAATTCCAGCCGCTGATGTGCAAAGCTGGCACGTTTCTCCGGGTAGTTGGGCTTCCCTGTTGAGCTTTACAGTGCAAAGATCATCAGATGCAATCAGTCCAACAACGGATGCAGTAGCTTTCATCAATTCGGATCGGGCCCAGTGAGGCCTTCCAATGTTTTCTAATGTATATACAGTTGTATATATATATATATATAGCTGTATATATATATATATAGCTGTATATATATATAATACATATAAGTACGATCATATACATATAATATATACAAATAAATCTATAAATATATACACATATATAGATATATAGTTTTATATATATATATAATTAAAAACATATATGTATCAATTTACATTCATATATATATATATATATATATGTACTTATACGTATATATATATATACAGTATATATGTACTTATATATGTACTTATATATATATAGAATTCCCCACAACTTTGTGTGGGGTTCTTGTTTTTGATTCTGTATCCCGGTCCCGGTCTCGGTCCCAGCCCCGTCCGCTCCGACTCTCTTTCACACACTATCTTTCACACACAACTTTGTCCAGGTTTAGGCCGGTGCTCAAGCGCATCTGCGCGCACACATGTGGGTCTGGGAAGGTAAAAAGTTGCTGACAATCTGGCAGGTGTGGCACTTGGAAACATCCACCTTCACTTCGCGTGGCAGGCGTGGCACTTGGCGACATCAACCTTCACTTTGCGTGGCAGGTGTGGCACTTGTGGCACTGGGCTGGCTCTGGTGGCGCGCTTGGGCGCGGTTAGCAGGCGTGGCACTTGGCGACATCCACCTTCGTTTCGCTCGGAAGGCCTGGCACTTGGCGACATCCACCTTCACTTTGCGTGGCAGGCGTGGCACTTGCGGCACTGGGCTGGCTCTGGTGGCACGCTTGGGCGCGCTTGGTCGCCGGTGACGCCGCGGTACTTTGCGTGGCAGGGGTGGCACTCGTTGACATCCACCTTCGTTTCACGTGGCAGGCGTGGCACTTGGTGACATCCACCTTCATTTTGCGTGGCAGGCGTGGCACTTGGTGACATTAACGTTCCATTTCTTTCACACACAACTTTGTCACACACTCCTTTTCACACACAACTTTGTCACACACTCCCTTTCACACACAACTTTGTCACACACCATCTTTCACAAACAACTTTGTCACACACACACACGCTACCTTTCACACACAACTTTGTCACACGCAACTTTGTCACACACCATCTTTCACACACACACAACTTTGTCACACACAACTTTGTCACACACTCTCTTTCACACACAACTTCTTTCACAAATCACAAACAACTTTGTCACACACACTATCTTTCACACGCAACTTTGTCACACACAACTTTGTCACACACCATCTTTCGCACACAACTTGTCACACACTCTCTTTCACACACACTATCTTTCACACACACCATCTTTCACACACAGCTTTGTCACACACTCTCTTTCACACACAACTTCTTTCACAAATCACAAACAACTTTTTCACACACACTCTTTGACACGCAACTTTGTCACACACCATCTTTCACACACAACTTTGTCACACATTCACACAGGACTTTGTCACACAATCACTTTGCGTGGCAGGCGTGGCACTTGGAAACATCCACCTTCACTTTGCGTGGCAGGCGTGGCACTTGGCGACATCCACCTTCGTTTCGCGTCGCAGGCGTGGCACTTGGCGACATCCACCTTCACTTTGTGTGGCAGGCGTGGCACGTGCGGCACTGGGCTGGCTCTGGTGGCGCGCTTGGGCGCGCTTGTTCGCCGGAGACGCCGCGGTACTTTCAGCGTGGCAGGCGTGGCACTCGTTGACATCCACCTTCGTTTCACGTGGCAGGCGTGGCACTTGGTGACATCCACCTTCATTTCGCGTGGCAGGCGTGGCACTTGGTGACATTCATGTTCCATTTGCGTGGCACTTGTGTGGTCACACACCATCTTTCACATACAATTTTGTCACACACAACTCTTCACATACAACTTGTTTTACCACCTCCTTTGTCTTTCCTTCCTTCCCCGTCCCGCTACAACATCTCTTGCTCATTTTAGGAAGAAGTTGACTTGTGGGGTTATCCAGTCCTTTATATAATTATATTGTTTGGCACAGTCACTGGCAGGAATGCATCATTCCAGATGTATGCTTTCAGAAACGTCAATATCTTTTCTGCCATGCAAGCATGGCATACAATGCATGCCTTTCGAATGGAGTCTCGTCTGTATGATACTTTGCAATCTTGAGGTGATTGCGATTTGGTAATGATTGGACGAACCACGGGTCAGGTGGATCGAGAAGTTTCAAAGCAGCGGGCAGGAGGGGTTTGTTGAAAGCATGAAGAGCAACATCAGCTCTCCCAAGAAGTCTGGGTCTTTAGCATAGAAGCTGCATAGCATTTACGCTTTGCCGCTTTGAATGATTGAATTTGCTGATACTGAATCTGAAGTGACTGGCTTTTTGGGATTGCTGCTGTCGACCTTTTCATTCCTGCCTAGTAGAGCAAGGAATCACATCACTGTGTTTTAGCATGTTAAAGTTTTAGCTATATACATTTTGAAGGTGAAGCACGAAGTTTCTTCACGTCCTTCCTAGGAAGAATTTTGCCTAACGAAAAACACGTTGAAAGGCCATGAAAGGCCCATCATTGTCCCTTTCTTTGTTCCATCGTTTGACAGGAGCTGACAGCAAAGGTCTATGCTGCTCGCGCCAGTGCCGATGTGATAAGTGGAGACTTTGAGCAGGTTTGGCTGTCAAATGTCATTCGAGAGTAAGCTGCAGACACGACTTGGAGTCTTTGATCTCAGCCTCAAGTGACTTAAAGTAGCGTGAGTGAAATAAGTGGCTATGGTTGTTTGATGTGTTTGGTATTATTTGTTTTTAAACAACAACAACAACAACAACAACAACACCAGCAGCAGCAGCAGCAGCAACAGCAACAGCACCAGCACCAGCAGCAGCAGCAGCAGCAAAAGCAGCAGCAGCAGCAGCAACAGCAGCGACAGCAGCGACAGCAGCGACAGCAGCGACAGCAACAACAAGAAGAAGAAGAACAACAAGAAGAAGAACAACAACAAGAAGAACAACAACAAGAAGAACAAGAAGAACAAGAAGAACAAGAAGAACAAGAAGAACAAGAACAAGCATCGATGTGCTTTGCACGTGGATCCAAGATTGCCAGGTGGAGGCACGGATGCAGCAGATGGAAGCTGTTGGCTTGGAGATTGACGAGGCATCGTGGGCAAAAGATCCATTTGGCAACATATTCACCACTTTGATGATGATATTCCCTTATAGTGAACCTACCCCGCCCGATCCAAAGTCTTGCGTTTAGTTGGTGGAGACTTCCCGGGAAAGTCGCCCCAACATGCGTTTAGTGGCTGTGGAGCAGTTGCATGAGATAGAAAATGATGTTTTAGAAATAAACAATGCTTCATTGAGCTTGTGTTTACACTGGTGACCTTGTTGTTTTGTCATGCCTGGCTCATTCATGTGACCGTCGAGCAAATCCAGTCACGTGTCAAAGTCGCCCTTCCGGGGGGAAACCATTCTAGAGTAGTTGCATCGATTCATCCAATTGCAGCAGATGCAAGTTACAGGTAGAGATTGCTGCCTCGCTGCTCCTCTACATTCCTTGTATTGTTTTATTGTCCATTGTTTTTTGAACTGGAGGGCTTCCAAAGCTGTTTTTTGACCTCGTTCGGGCCTCGTTTTTGGCCTCGTTCGGAACCGTGCTTTAAGACCCACCTGGGGGCTCAGTTCAAAAATGTTTGGCGCTCCTGACGGAGGGTGAGCTCGGTCACATTGGAGAAGGATGCTCAGGGCCAGAGCACCCAGCGGTCCTGTGAAGGTTACGATCACCATTGAAACTGAGCCACCACACTTCATTCCCGGCCCATTGGGTCAGCAAAATTGGTCCTGCTCTGATCAGCTGCAAAGCTGACAATAGATTGGTTGGTTGAGGCAGAATGAGCTGGGGGATTTGATGTTTTGTTTAAAGAAGAGCACAATTTGGCCACAGAAATTGGTGGCAGAAATTGGGACGCTGTTGCGCGTCTTTGGGTGCTTCAGAAATCGGGTGCTTCGGGTGCTTCAACATTGAGATTAGATGCGTTTTAAAACATAAGATATATCTTACCAAAATCCAAAACATACATGCATCATGCGTCCACATGGTGTTTTGATATCGAAGTATATCGTTTCGTTAATAATTTCCCCTAGTTTGAAACTATTGAGGCGATTTGCGTTCTCATGGTGTTTTGTAAGTTTGGGATTATAGTTTTTGAATTTAGTGCTGCGTTTACAATGGGCAAAGAAGTTGGGGTGACCTTTCCTGGCAGTTGGGGGGCGTAATTCCATGCGGGAATGACAGTTGACTGTAACGTTGGGGGAAGTTCGCCGGCATTGTGTATATGTAGTCATGATAATAATCCAATGATTATCATAATGATTCATAATATACTGTATCTCAATCCATCTCAATCCTAGGTTGTGCCCACTGCATCAATTGGTTGCGTTTATAGTTTGTACTGCAAAGTTGCACAGTACGTGGTGAAAGGCGTGCCCTTGGTGTAAAATAGTCTTACTTAGGTGCTGGTGTGCAAATCCCAAAAAGCAGGCCTAGTGGAGTTCCTTAGGGAATAGCATTTGATAACATTTGATATATCATGATATATCCCTTATGTTCCTTGCTGTTCAAACATCACTTCAATTCAGTTTTTTTTGCAGAGTTAGGTGGAGATTGAATTATTTTGTTTTAAGAGATGCTAGTTTTCGTGTTATTGGCACTCGATGGTTCCACTTGAACCACGTTCAAAACTGCCGGCAATTGATTTTAGTATTCGGTGGAATTTATTCTTTGAAAAATTGAATGGCGTCACACGCGCGCAAGCTTTTCACAAGCTTCGCGCAAGCTCATGTACGTGCAAGCTTCGCGCAAGCCCGAAATCACGTAGATAATTGAAACATAAAAATGAATATGCAACGAAAAGGGTTACACAACATACTGGGACGAGACGAGATGGGTGACGAGTTCCGTTGTGCATTGTTTGCTTGGTATGTCGGCCCTCTGGCTTGCAAAGGTATAGTCAGTTTAAGCAAACAAGGTTCTGAATGGATGCCATGGATCTTGAATGGTAATAGGCCATGGAGTTAATTGTTGCGTGTAATTTTGACCCTTGAAGATTTCAAACACCCTGAATTTTGCGCAAGGTTCGCGCAAGCTTCGCACAAGCAAAGGGGTTCCTGGCCACTATGCCCCACAGAAACCGGTAGCAAGATGATCGTAGACTCACCATATGGGCTACATTTTCCTACTATGCTCTTTCTGAGCGGGACAATAAGCAAAACCACTGCACGGACTGGGAGCCATGCCGCTGTACTGATTGTACTCTGGCTCAAGGCCATACACTCACTGGAGGCATTCAGGGACTACACTGCTGGCAAAATAGGACCTGCGTTGATTGGAGCCTAGAAGTCGAGAAGCCACCGGAAGTCGAGAAGCCACCGGACAAGCCAAGAAGTCGAGAAGCTGAGAAACCACCGAACGAGCCGAGAATCTGAGAAGCCAAGCAACCCAAGTCCGAAATCAGCTTCGTGCCTGCATCGCGCAAGCAAAAATGCACCAAATCTCAGGAATTTATCTTCGCGCAAGGTCGCGCAAGCTCAGTTTGAAAAATTGACCGCGCGCAAGCTCCCATTGTGGTCGCGCAAGGATTTCGCGCAAGGATGAATAATTTCCATTCAGTTTTAATTGAAGTTTTGAACACCGCTCACTTGAGCCCCCTTAGTCGACCGACTTACCCCTGAAACCAGAAGTTGGTTCAGAAGTTAGTGCAAGAAAGTCGTTCCATGTATATCACAAGCATCTTGTCAGTTGAAATCATCATGGGAGAAGTATGGGTAGACACACGTAAGCACACCTTAGCTTAGCTGTGCATACGGACTTCTATGTGGGGTTTTACATGTTGTTACCACACTAGGCGCATCTTTCGTATCCCACTGTACCACTATGCTTGGCCGATCTGAATCTATGTTTGTCTCGGTTGATTATGTCGATGTTTGGCAGTCAGTCTTGACAAGTAGTTCGGTTTTTTTGCGTCGTCTTCCAGAACAGTCCTTCGTAATCCTACGTACATGTCCGGGTTGGATGTTTTGATGGTTCCCCATACTTCAGTTGTTTGCAGCCGGCTCTATTTGGGCAAAGAATTACTGGCATTTGTCATGTTCCTATGCTATACTACCTGTATTCAGTCCCAATGATGTCCATCTCGATGTGTTTTGCAGTGCCTTTCAGCAGTACAAACTATCTTGAGGTGGGTGGATGTTGCCGTCTGGACCGAGCCAGGATGCTTTGACAGTCATGCTCCTGGCATACGGATATGCAAAACCTCAACAGACTCTTTTGGCAGAGCAAATGTATGAGCCTTGGCGATGTGTTGCAATAGACCAGGAGTCAACGCTGCTATCCCCCCTCAAGCTACGTATGGTTCATCATGGTTCAGCCTGAATTTGATGCCACAGCGAAATGTTTGTATCAGCAACCGGAAACAAGATATTGCAAGATTGAGGAGGCTTTCTTGCCAGACAAAATCAAAATAAGATCCATTGCTTCTGTGCGTAGCGCCTTCAACATTGTGTCACACCGGAATGAGCCTTCAAAATACCAAACTAGCTTGCATATGATTTGAGTCTTAAGCTCTCCCATTCCAAGCTGAGAGAAGCCAGTTTAAATTTTGACACTTTGAGGTTCAAGCAGCAGATGCTTCGTGGTAAGGTGCGAGCCACCCGAGAAGTCCTTGAGGCGGGATACATTCACAAGCTGAGGCAGAAGTGTCCAGTGTTTTCACATCATTTTTCATTGCTTCACGATTAATCCTGATTTGAAATCTGATCGATAATAATACAATATCATACATGTGTATATAATATTATATTTATATACATACATATGCCTATATAATATGTATGTATATATATATATATTCTACACGTATTTATATATGTGTGTGTGTGCATAAATATATACAAATATGTATATATATATACATATATATATATATGGGCACGATACATTAATAGGTGTTAATTGAGTGCTGTTTGAGCAATTCTTTGCTGTTTGTTTCTTGCAAGTGCACGAGATGTGTTCCGCACGACAGAGGAAGCTCACAAGCCCTGTAATTACATACACACATACATGCATGCATGCATGCACGCATGCATACGTTGATGCATAGATGCATAAGCGCATAGATGCATAGATATATGGATACATGCATTGCGTTGCATTGCACGACATTACATAGCATTACATGACATAACATGATCTTACATTATTCCTACATTCCGCATCATTCCGCTACATTACATTCCGTTGCATTGCGCGTCATTACCTACATACAGACATACAGAGATATGAGTCTATATGATTTGGTAAGTAAATATGTATAATCAATGTGATGTGTGTATGTATATATATATACCAATGTGACTTACATGTGTGTGTGTGTGATGTACAAGTATAATCATGTATATATGTATGCATATGTGTAAATGTATATGTACAATCACACACACTGCTGACTATATACTGCACTATGTGCAGGATTACAAAGGCTTTAGTGTGCATCCCGAGAACTTCGCACCCTCTGCATCAATGAAGAGGCCCTGCGTTTGGCTGTGGGCGGTGCGCGGTGTTTGCAGCTCAGGCCGGCGTTGGATTCCGGAGAGCTTCCCAACCGCCATCATATTGATTTTTATTGATGTATATTGATGTACATCGCAGACTCCATCAGATTCCTGTATTTCGTTTAGGTTGGCCTTGGTTTGCCCACTCTCATGATCGGTCCCTTTGTTTCCGCAATCTTGTCCTTTGAATCCCAAATGCAGAATTATTTGACCCTCCAAAACAAGTTGGCGAGACGCTGTCGGCAGGAGAGAGTTGCAAATTGGCTCGTCTGATCCTCAGCGAAATGGATGATGTTGAATCTCGGTTCCCTTGAAACTGCCTGGTGTCAACCGGAGGTGGGCATGTGTGCCCTCGCAAGCTGATGTCCAACAATAATGCCTGGTATGATATGGCATGATTCCGGTATGATGTTATATTTATATAGGTAAATTATGGTAAATTGGTACTCAGGGTATCCAGGGTAGCCCGCATCCAATTATCTTCCACTCCCCATCCGCAGCTCTCCTTGTCAAGGCAGAAGAAGTCACCGTGGGGTCCCCAATTTCCAAGCGTCATTGAAGCCGGGCATCTACGAATCCTTTCTCTCATGTAAGCATCTTCCCACAAAGACAGCTTCTGGCGCATGGGACGAGGACCAAATAAAGCTGTTGGAATTTGTATGAATTTGTTGCAAGATGTTGCGAGTATTTTGCCAGATTTTGGATGTGCTGTGATTTTGCCAAGGGTTAAGCTGGCCTTCATAGCCTGGAAAGCACTCCCTTTAGAAATTGCCATGTGATTCTAACGCGGCCCAATTCTTGACTTGTGACTTTCTGTATTCCATTTCAGAATCTTCAGATGCCAAATCTTACAATCAGGGATGCAGCCATTGACTACGCTGCAAAATCGGCAGCTGAGTCTTGGTCGCATGTTATTGTAGTCAGTGCTCAAGGTAGCAGGTAGGATTTTATGATATTTCATGTTTGCTGTTTGGCGAGTGACTTGTACTATATTACTGTTAGAACCCCCGAATTCCTCAGAGCGCAATTCCCAAGTTCTCCGACGGCGGTAGTCGTAGAATCTACTTGTTCAAGATTGTTCAAGCTAGGACTGGGCTGGGGGAGTCAACATCGCATCCAGAAACGATCGTTCGGGTGTGGTTTTTCGAGTAAATCATTCCTCCACATCCAAGGGAAAGAACCAAAGGCCCAGAGGCAGGAGCAGCGGCCACAGGAACTCGCTGCGAGCAGGGACCAGAGTGACCCTGAAAATCCCTGAAAGATCTTTAGCTCACCACGTGGCTTCAACATGCTTCAACTATTTCAAGAGCTTGTTGAAAGCAGGGATTTTTTCGGTGCAAATGGTCAAAGGGATGTGTTGTTGCTCAGCTGTTTTATTCATTTGCTCGTTTTGCTGGTGGTCGAACAGTCTAACCAGACCGCAAATTGCGACATTGATTGGTTGGTTCGCAGGCGGATCAGGTGTCCATCAGCCAAAGCATGTGATCACCAAGGTCGGATTTGGAAGAGCTTTCTTCCTCCTGAGCCACCTGCCAAGCGTCTGAAGTGGGAGTAGGAGCGCGAAGAAAGAAGCGCAAGAGATTTGCAGCGCGGTCACTGTAGGTGAAACCTGCCATTGGCGTCTTTTGGGTCCTGAAACTTGCCTTGATACTCAAATTAGGTAGTGTTGGTATTTTCTGTGGACGTTGGCCCTGCAACAAGATCCCATTCCGTTGTTTGTCAATAGCCCAATCCCCAACATTGCTCATTCAGGAACTGACCTCCCTGGCCGAAAGTCCCAAAGATATCACTGAGATAAGGTGGGAATGGGATGGAATGGGTGCAACATGGCGGAACGATGATGTCATCGCCACCCTGGCTCCAGTGGTTAGGTCTTTGAGGCCGTCAGGAACGCTTCCGATCCAAAGCTCCTGCTGCAGCATGGATGCGGGAGGCGTCAAGCTCGCCAAGGCACCAGGGTGAAAGCTTGCGAGATGTGTTATATTATATAGTTGGTATGTTGTAGATGTTGTAGTTGAACTTCCAATAGTTTCCAAATGTTTCCAAACATACTTGGACTTAGGGCTGTCTTTGCATTGCGGGATACTTCCATACCAACTGATTGAGTGTCTGAGATATTCTGAGATCATGTCAGTAGGATGGTGTTGTAGCACGTCGCAGATAGTGTTGTTTCCAAGGCAAGTCACTGTGTGCGGCTCCTATGAACATGCACTCTACTCCCAAAAGTAGGTGCGTGTGTGTGGGTATGGTTCACAATGATATATTCCTAAGCACAGTAAGAACGGATGTTTAGATACTGAAAATGACCGACTCTTCGGGTCCCTACCCGACAACCCATTTGGGGTTCACGCGGCTGCGGTCCAGAGATCATCGCTTGAGGTGGACAAGATTTTGGGCCGAACAGGTTCCCGTGGAGGAGTGATCCAGGTAGGGGCCTGACATTGGGTGAGAACTTCAATTTTGGTCAGGGTGGGCTGGAAGTTGGAAATACTATCGAGATCTTTTGACAACCTGAATCGTCCAACCCTGTATCGGACTTGCCGGTGGCAAAATGGTTTCTTGATGTTTCTTGAGCTCTTGGTGTATTCCACCTGTCCATGTGCAGAGTGTCCGATGGACACGTTCCAGGCATGACTCGGATCAATGGAAACAGGCATCGACTATTCCCTACTTTCATCGACTTCTCGTCGACTATTCCCTACTTTTTGGGGTTCCAAGCGCGTTTCATGCCCTGACTATATAAAACATCAGACCCACATAGACCCACCTGCAAACAAACCCGGCTTCGAATGCTCTAATTGCAATTTGTCTCGAAAAGCATTTGGTCAAATGTGGTCAAGAATATGGTTGAAACTAGTTGCAAACAGAATTAAGAAATTTGTTTGACGGAAGATGCAATTGATATGAAGCCTCAAGATGATGATTTCTGTGCCGCTCCAGTCTGAATGTCTGAAGATAAGCACCAGATACAAGCCAGTTCTGCTTCTGATTGAGCGCTAGATGTCCATGCCACATAGAACGTCTTGTCAGATGGAAGTTGCGCGTTATTTTGATGGCTTGGGTAGCATGAGTTGCACAATTCTTTTGGCACATGACCGAGCAAGACGCTCTGTGGGTTTTTCCTTGAACCCAACATGGTTGCATTGCAAGGCAGGTAGAATCAAAACCAAGCTTGACAGAAGATGCACTTGATATGAAGTCTCAAGATGATGATTTCTGTGCCGCTCCAGTCTGAATGTGTCTGAAGATAAGCACCAGATACAAGCCAGTTCTGCTTCTGATTGAGAGCTAGATGTCCATGCCACAGCACGTCTTGTCAGATGGAAGTTGTGCGTTATTTTTGATGGCTTGGGTAGCATGAGTTGCACGATTCTTTTGGCACATGACCGGGCAGCACGCCCTGTAGGTTTTTCCTTGAACCCAGCATGGTCGCAAGGCAGGTAGAATTGAAACCAAGCTTGACAGAAGATGCGCTTGATATGAAGTCTCAAGATAATGATTTCTGTGCCGCTCCAGTCTGAATGTCTGAACATATGCATTTCTGCTTCTGATTGAGCCCGGGATGTCCATGCCACATAGCACGTCTTGTCAAATGGAAGTTGTGCGTTTATTTTTGATGGCTTGGGTAGCATGAGTTGCACGATTCTTTTGGCACATGACCGGGCAGCACGCCCTGTTGGTTTTTCCTTGAATCCAACATGGTTGCAAGGCAGGTAGAATCGAAACCAAGCTTGACAGAAGATGCACTTGATATGAAGTCTCAAGATGATGATTTCTGTGCCGCTCCAGTCTGAATGTCTGAAGATAAGCACCAGATACAAGCCAGTTCTGCTTCTGATTGAGCGTTAGATGTCCATGCCACATAGCACGTCTTGTCAGATGGAAGTGGTGCCTTATTTTTGATTCTTTTGGCACATGACCGGGCAACACGCTCTGTGGGTTTTTCCTTGAACCCAACATGGTTGCAAGGCGGGCAGAATCGAAACCAAGCTTGACAGAAGATGCACTTGATATGAAGTCTCAAGATGATGATTTCTGTGCCGCTCCAGTCTGAATGTGTCTGAAGATAAGCACCAGATACAAGCCAGTTCTGCTTCTGATTGAGAGCTAGATGTCCATGCCACATAGCACGTCTTGTCAGATGGAAGTTGTGCGTTATTTTTGATGGCTTGGGTAGCATGAGTTGCACAATTCTTTTGGCACATGACCGGGCAGCACGCCCTGTAGGTTTTTCCTTGAACCCAGCATGGTTGCAAGGCAGGTAGAATTGAAACCAAGCTTGACAGAAGATGCACTTGATATGAAGTCTCAAGATGATGATTTCTGTGCCGCTCCAGTCTGAATGTGTCTGAAGATAAGCACCAGATAAAGCCAGTTCTGGTTCTGATTGAGCGTTAGATGTCCATGCCACATAGCACGTCTTGTCAGATGGAAGTTGTGCGTTATTTTTGATGGCTTGGGTAGCATGAGTTGCACGATTCTTTTGGCACATGACCGGGCAGCACGCCCTGTAGGTTTTTCCTTGAACCCAACATGGTTGCAAGGCAGGTAGAATCGAAACCAATCTTGACAGAAGATGCACTTGATATGAAGTCTCAAGATGATGATTTCTGTGCCGCTCCAGTCTGAATGTGTCTGAAGATAAGCACCAGATACAAGCCAGTTCTGCTTCTGATTGAGAGCTAGATGTCCATGCCACATAGCACGTCTTGTCAGATGGAAGTTGTGCGTTATTTTTGATGGCTTGGGTAGCATGAGTTGCACAATTCTTTTGGCACATGACCGGGCAGCACGCTCTGTGGGTTTTTCCTTGAACCCAACATGGTTGCAAGGCAGGTAGAATTGAAACCAAGCTTGACAGAAGATGCACTTGATATGAAGTCTCAAGATGATGATTTCTGTGCCGCTCCAGTCTGAATGTCTGAAGATAAGCACCAGATAAAGCCAGTTCTGCTTCTGATTGAGCGTTAGATGTCCATGCCACATAGCACGTCTTGTCAGATGGAAGTGGTGCCTTATTTTTGATTCTTTTGGCACATGACCGGGCAACACGCTCTGTGGGTTTTTCCTTGAACCCAACATGGTTGCAAGGCGGGCAGAATCGAAACCAAGCTTGACAGAAGATGCACTTGATATGAAGTCTCAAGATGATGATTTCTGTGCCGCTCCAGTCTGAATGTGTCTGAAGATAAGCACCAGATACAAGCCAGTTCTGCTTCTGATTGAGAGCTAGATGTCCATGCCACTTGGGTAGCATGAGTTGCACGATTCTTTTGGCACATGACCGGGCAGCACGCCCTGTAGGTTTTTCCTTGAACCCAGCATGGTTGCAAGGCAGGTAGAATTGAAACCAAGCTTGACAGAAGATGCGCTTGATATGAAGTCTCAAGATAATGATTTCTGTGCCGCTCCAGTCTGAATGTCTGAAGATAAGCACCAGATACAAGCCAGTTCTGCTTCTGATTGAGAGCTAGATGTCCATGCCACATAGCACGTCTTGTCAGATGGAAGTTGTGCGTTATTTTGATGGCTTGGGTAGCATGAGTTGCACAATTCTTTTGGCACATGACCGGGCAAGACGCCCTGTAGGTTTTTCCTTGAACCCAACATGGTTGCAAGACGGGTAGAATTGAAACCAAGCTTGACAGAAGATGCTCTTGATATGAAGTCTCAAGATGATGATTTCCGTGCCGCTCCAGTCTGAATGTCTGAAGATAAGCACCAGATAAAGCCAGTTCTGCTTCTGATTGAGCGTTAGATGTCCATGCCACATAGCACGTCTTGTCAGATGGAAGTTGTGCGTTATTTTTGATTCTTTTGGCACATGACCGGGCAACACGCTCTGTGGGTTTTTCCTTGAACCCAACATGGTTGCAAGGCGGGTAGAATCGAAACCAATCTTGACAGAAGATGCACTTGATATGAAGTCTCAAGATGATGATTTCTGTGCCGCTCCAGTCTGAATGTGTCTGAAGATAAGCACCAGATACAAGCCAGTTCTGCTTCTGATTGAGCGCTGGTTGTCATTGGCTGAGTTTTTTAGGAGGTTTGCAAGTTGAGTGGTTGCCAAACAGGAATATCTCAAAGTGTGTGAACATTCCAAAATGATCCAAAAGGATCCAAAAGGAAGACTGTGAGAGATATGACCCAGACCAATGAGCCAGGTTCGCGTGGCTTTCATGACGGAATCCGCTCCAGAGTTGGCTGGCCGATCGCTGATCCGCAACGTCAAGGCTCCGGGTTGCTGACATGTTGGAGTGAAGCAACCAGCTGCGCAGCGGTATTGAACAGCTAAAGTGTGCTGCATTTCGTTGAGGGCCCAGTTCGTGAGGGCGACATTCTGGCCCGACACCTAGCGGAACAATCACCAAGGTTTCCCTTTGACCATGGCTACGGCTACATTTGAGGTTGATTCACATGGCTTCATGTCTATATTCTATGCACTGCTGTTCTAAGTACAAAGAGGCCAAGGCACTCCCCAATATATAGACATGTCAGAGTCTCACGTTGCGTGAATGATGCATGCTGCCCCACACACACTCTCAAATTGATTCA